CCTGAGTGGGAGAAGCTCCTGAGCTCTCCTGCTCTGCTCCTAAAGCAATATGGATCTTAACTTGAAACCAAAACTATACATTTTGGTAAATCTTTTAACTTTCCCCTTTTGCAAAGTAGATAATAATGTTCTTCATAACACTGTTAAGATTAAATGGGAAAGTATAAAGACTTAGCAAGATGCAGATCAGTACTTTTATTTATGGGTTTATTTTTCCTTTTCATAATTTTTTGACTATACCCAGTGGTGCTCAGGGGTCACTGCTGATAGTGCTCAGGGGACCATGCAGTGCTGGAGATCAAACCTGGGCCTCCCACGTGCAAAGCATGTGCTCAACTCTTTGGACTATTTCTCTGCCCCTAAAGTTGTTTTCATATGGGATGTCATATGAAGACTAGGAATGATATTTCAACCTTATTCTAAATTTTTTTCTTTTTAAGTTTCTATTGAATATCCGTGAGATCATTACAAAGCTGTTCATAATTGGGTGTCAGTCATACAATGATCCAACACCCATTCCTCCACCAGTGTACCTTTCCCATCACCAATGTCTCCTGTTTCCCTCCCACCATCCTCTAGTAAGCCCCCACCCCAACTTTCCTATACGGCAGCTACTTCCTTCTCCCTCCTTTTGTGCATTACGGTTTGCAATACAGGTACTAAGAGGTCATGTTGTTTGTTCAGGGTGTTAAGTATTTTTACTGGGACGGTAAGACGGGAGTAGCTTTTTAAACTGGGATGGCAGCTTTGGGGAGTGGATGTGAGTGCCACGGTACAGGGAAGTGGGGGTAGGTAGTCCATCCTGACCCCTAGAAAGCCTGGAGGTGTCACTCATATAACCCGCATAACTGAATTTTCAGCAGATCATGTCTTGGTGAGTCCCATCCGGAGACAGAGGAGTCTGGTGTGGGTATGGTGGTATTTACTTTTGGATTGTGGACACAAGCGACTGCTGGGGTCTCTTCTTGGGCAGGCACCAGGCTGACCTGTCTCCTCCCGATTTACCCCAGTCTGTTTAGATTTGTCCGGGTCCAAGATTTACTACAGCTTTTGATCTCTTTTGAGGCTTATTTATGGGTCTCTGAAGCAGTGCTAATAAATGAGCTTGTATAGCTGAACCAAAGGTAGATTTTGGGTGTGACTCCACATACCTAAATTTTTGCCATTTGATTTCTCAGGGAACTTGGTTCTGAGTCATTGAAATCTGGCTAGAGGCACAGTGGCAATTTTGGGGTATCAGGAAGCCATCCGGCTGCTGCTGCGCTCGCCTCATGGGCACAGGTTGACCTTCTGGCAGCACTGCATCCCCTATACTAAATTTTTGAGAGGTTTTATTATTTAATATATTGTAAGAGTTTTGGGCTGGAGCGATAGCACAACGGTAGGGCGTTTGCCTTGCATGTAGCCAACATGGCCGACCCGAGTTCGATTCCTCCGCCCCTCTCGGAGAGCCCGGCAAGCTACCGAGAGTATTCGATATGCCAGACACAGTAACAACAAAATCTCTAATGGAGACGTTACTGGGCCCGCTCGAGCAAATCGATGAACAACGGGAGGACTGTGACTGTGACTGTGAGAGTTTTACATTTGTTGTTGTTTTGGAGCCACACTCGGTGGTGCTTGGGGATTATTTCTGGCTCTTTGCTCAGAGACCATTCCTGGTGGGGCTCCAGGTCGAGCTCTTCGGTTGAAATGTGGTGCCGCGGATTGAAGCTGGGTCTGCCATATGCAAGGCAAGTGTCATTGCCTGATGTTCTATTTCTCTGCCCCTGAGGTTGACATTGTCCACTAGTGCAAGTAATAATTCACATAAAACCAACCAGTACCTTAATAGTTTTGTAAACTTACCAGAAGGTGCCTTATAACAGCTGTGAGCTATGAATTATAAAAAATTTAAAGAAAATAGCTGTCCAAGCTTTAAAAATGTATTCAGTCATTAGATAATTTGTTTTCTATAACAACAACAAAAAAATGTATTCAGTCAGCCCCCAGAACTGCAAAAAAAAAAAAAAATCATTAAAATATAGTAGTAATGACTGTTACCACTAGATGGAGCTCTCAGAATGTATTTTTTGAGCAGAAGGTAACTGATTTCAGCCCCCATCCCCTTCAATTTTTTTTTTTGTAGACTACAACAGTATTAACTTTTATTATTTTAATCTACACCATTGCTGCACTTTTACCACCACTAGTATATAGCACTGTAGCACTGTCCTCCCGTTGTTCATTGATTTGCTCTAGCAGGCACCAGTAACATCTCTATTTTGAGATTTGTTGTTACTGTTTTTGGCATATCAAATACTCCATGGAGAAGCTTGCCAGGCTCTGCCACGCAGGCAGGATACTCTCGGTAGCTGGCCCGTCTTCCCAAGAGGGACGGAGGAATCCAACACGGGTCGGCCGTGTGCAAGGCAAGCATCCTTCCTGTGTGCTATCGCTCCAGCCACCACTAGTATATAAGACTATATATTCAATAAAAGAATATTGAATATGTTAGGGTAAAGGTAGTTTTGTGTTCTTCCTGATCTTGGGGGGAAGTTAGTCTTTCAACATTTGACTATAAAATCAGCTGTAACATACAGAGATCTTTGTCAGAATGAGAAAATTTCCTTTTCATTTCGATATTAAGAGCTTTCCTCTAAGATCTTAATAAAATACATTTTAATTGGAGTTGAAAAATTCAGGTTGTATGGGGCTGAAGGGAAAATTCTTTAAAAATAAGTGGTTTACTTTAAATCTATTTCTAGGATTTAATGTGTAAATTAGGGCTGGAGCAATAGCACAGCAGGTAGGGCATTTGCCTTGCATGCGGCCGACCCTGGTTTCGATTCCTTCATCCCTCTTGGAGAGCCTGCCAAGGTACCGAGAGTATCTTGCCCGTATGGCAAAACCTGGCAAGCTCCCTGTGGCGTATTCAACATGCCAAAACCAGTAACAACAAGTCTCACAATGGAGACATTACTGGTGCCCGCTCAAGCAAATCAATGAACGGTGGGAGGACAGTGCTACAGTGCAGTGTGTAGATAATGATTAATTGAGGGCCCAGCCTGGACCAATGATCTATCCCTTTAGTCAGGTTGTTATCTTGATGAAGTTGAGTTCCTTTAAGGGTTGAATGGATCCTACTAAGATGTGTATCGTTTGCCTCATTGAGACAGTAAAATTGCTGCATGCTTGTATTTCATTATTTGAAGTTTGGAGTTTCACTGATTATCTTGGCAAGAAATTTTGGTCTTTTTGATTTTGGTCTTACTTTATTTCATGTGCATTTCCTTCCATTGACTTTCTTTTGTGTTTGTGTTTTTGGGGGGAGGGGGCTACACCTGCTGATGCTCAGGGCTTACTCTTGGCTCTGCACTCAGGGATCACTCTTGGTCATGCTTGATAGTGGTGGTGGTGGGGCTCTGTATGGATTGCTGGGGATCGAACCCAGGTCGGCCACATGCAAGGCAAGCACCTGCCTGTTGAACTGTCGCTTTGGCCCAGATTTTAAATCTTAATAGATTTATTGCTGCTCTCTGGGGCTGGGATCTCCCATGTGGTGCTCAGGAGTCCCACGGGCTCTCCCCTCAGTACTCCACTAACCACGTGGGCTGCTCAGTGTGAGGACCTGAAGATGTGGTCTGCTCAGGTCTGTGGTGCTGGGGGTTACTCGACTGCCCTGGTGGTGCTGTCTCATGTCTGCACCAGCTGGTGCTTGGGGGACTGTGTAGTACTGGGGTTGAACTAGACTCAGCCTCATGCAACTCGATGGACCTTAACTTGTGTACTGTCTTCTGGCTCTCTTTTTTATGGAGGATGAATGGAGTTCCCAGGAGTGCTGGTGGTCACCAGGGCTGCCTCCAGTGATGCTTAGAGGCCGTTCAGTGCCCAGATTGAACCTAGGGCCTTGCACGTGCTATGCCTGCTCTCTAGTCCTTTTGAACTATCTTCCTTACTCCCTCTACGTCTTTTTATAATAAGTACTTTATATATACTAATTAAAGATAATATACCTATTAGAATGTTAAAAAAAGATTACTATATGCGCTAATTATAGGAAGGAGAAAGGCAAAACAATAATATAAATTTATATGCATACATACATATATATTTATGTATTGGTTTTAGACCCCAGACCTAGTTCTTAGCGGTTGCTCCTGATTTTGTGCTTGGGGTTGAGCCTGGTTGTGTTCCAGGGCCCAGGCATTATTGGCTTCCTACAGGAAATGCTGCCAGCCCACTGGACCATCTCTCTAGCCCCAAAAATATATATTTTAATGCATAGATACTCGAGCAGACTACACTAAATAGCCGAAGAGGTCATCAGATGGTTGCCATTCTTTACATAGAATTACTGTGAATTTGTTGTGAAAGCTCTTTTAATAGAGTATTGGTAATCCTGGTGCTGAAGTGGCATTGACGTTGGTGACATCGTTTTCTAAAAATGTGGGCAACTCTTAGTCAAGTTAAAAAAAAACCCAAAACAGTAAACCAATAGATAAATGGTACGGTTGCACTCTGGAAGGTGTAGAATATGTTACCTGTGCAAGAGTCGAAAATACTTATATTTAGGTTCAGAACACATTTATTGTTGCCAAACAGAAGTTATGATAGCTTTCTTTCCATTTGTACCAGTTAAATAGGACAATGTCTTTTTTCCTTATTTCTATTTACTTCTGTGAAAACAAGATTGTTTTAACTCTTTTAAAAAATGGTGAAAAAAAATCTTTTAAGGTAATTGCATGTAGTCCTCTGATAAAAAGGCAAGAAATTTGACCAATTTTAAATTTTAGACAATGTTCCTCTGTTACCTTTCAAACCTAATTTATTTTCCTAAGTAAAAATTTCATGAGAAAGAATTTTTTCCTAAAAATTCATATCTAAATCACTTTTGTATATTTTATAGTTTATAATCTACCTCTATTAGTACCAAATGGAGGTAGATTATAGACTACTATTAGTTGTTTCATAGTTTATCAAATGGAGATGTTGATGTTAAAGCCATCTGTTTTGTTTAGATGTCCCTGGTAGATTTGGGAAAGAAGCTTTTAGAAGCAGCGCGAGCAGGTCAAGATGATGAAGTTCGTATTTTGATGGCGAATGGAGCTCCCTTTACTACAGACTGGGTAAAGAATGACTTTAATACTGTAGTATTTTTCTTCTTATTCAATATTTCCAGGTAAAAATTTAGCCAATATTTAAAAAGTGGTAGATAGCTTATTTCTATAATTGTATTTGCAACTTTAGACATAGCTCTGTTTGCCAGGAAGTGACTTATATAATTTTCTTTGATGTTGAGCGCTGTGTTATTTAAACTCAAAAGAGTTTTTCATATCTGTGGAGTTTTGTAATGGAGGGTAAAAGTAAAAGATAGTTGCTTATACTTAATATTCTTTGATATGGGAATAGTATATAATTCAGAAAATAATAAGATTGTATTTAATGTTCCCATTTCTTCTAAGAAGAAACAGTTATGATAACTGGGTAGTTTAGCTGGTGGTAAATATTTTCCATGGCTGTTGCTTTCCAGGATGAATGGGACAAAGTTCCGGGAGCAGAAAGGAACATCATAAAGTTGAGTAATGACTAGGGTTGAAACCACTTAAAACCAACTCTCAGTGCTCAGGACTGAGAGTGACTAGTTCCTGGAACTAGAAGAGCCATGAAGATGGTGTGAGAAAGTTTGACATATAATACAAATGTGCTATATGGAATTACAAATCCACAATGAGAGTTGAGAATAGGGATGAAATAAGAGTGGAAAAGATTTTTCTTGGAGTGATTAAAAAAATTGCAGTTCTTAGATTGAAATACCTCTAAATCCCCAGCAGGGTGATTAAAAACCCATCTCTAGAAACATCAGATCAAAAGGATCATGAGAATGATTATATAGACATTTTAGAGACATTTGATTACACCTGGTAACTTTTGAACATTTATATACATTATGAAACAGTTGTTATCTTAAGAATCTTGTTCTGTACTTGACACTTTTTAAGACTGTTTTTAGCAGCAGTATTACTTATGAGAACAAAAAATTGGGAACAGCCCAAATGCTCATCAGAGGCAGCCTACTGATTAAATTAACTATGGTTTATTTAGCCAGTGGAATATTATAGAGCAGAGGCAATTGAGTTACAGTTAAGTCCAATAATGAGGCCAAATCTCATGAACATAGCAATGTTAAACAAATAAAGCCAAATCACAGAGAAATAATATATGCAGAATGATTCTATTTGAATAGAACTGAAACAGGACAAAGCAGAGTATTTTTTAAGGATATGTGAGTAATTGTTTTAAAAAAAAAACAGTAAAAACCTTCAGTAACATAAAACAGTACTTATCACAGAATTGAAACTAATAATCACCTCAGGCTGAGGGAGGGGTTTGTGACTAGGAAATGGCACATCTTTCCAGGAAGGTTTCTAAATTGCAGGCAGTGTGTTCATTTCTTGACCGAGATGGTGGTTTTAAGAGTCCGTATTTTTTTTTTCCTCTAAGATACATATACTTAGGTATGTGTGTATTATATCTGTTTATGTGTATAAACATTTTATTTTCTGTCTTCAACACAAAAGATAAGGTCTTAATAAGAAAAGAAAAACGTTAATCTGATTATCACGTCACATTCCACAGGAGTACTAACTAGGCTATTGTGATCCTTCATTAAATACTACATTTTAACAGTGTAATGGAGGCTGGAGGGATAGCACAGCGGGTAGGGCGTTTGCATTGCACGCAGCCGACTTCAATTCCCAGCATCCCATATGGTCCCCTGAGCACCGCCAGGAGTAACTCCTGAGTGCAGAGCCAGAAGTAGCCCCTGTGCATCACCAGGTGTGACCCAAAAAGCAAACAACAACAACAACAACGTATAAAAAGGAGCAGTTATAGAAAAATTTAAGCGATGGTACAAAACTTATAGTAGTACAATCATTATTCCTAGGGTAAATGATTTTCAATTTTACTATGTTGCAAGACTAGCTTTGGATTCTAATTCATACTTACTGGGTTACTTTTAGGCAAATTAGTTGTAACCACTGCCAGGCGAGGATAGTAATGCTTCTCTGTTAGGAGATTACATTACTTAATATATTTAAAATTCTTAGAATGGTGCCTGCCATGAAAAAATGTCTAAAGAAAACCTTGGTTGCATTCAGTAGCGGTTTTTCATATTTTATGTTTTAGTGAACTATTTTGATTCTTTAGAATATCAGTGCCTTGGTAATCAGAGCTGTAGGGACTTTCTGTGCTTCTAAAACATGCAACACAGTATAACTTAATATAATTTCCCCCAGTTAAAGAAGGCTCTTCATTCACATTTTAGTGCTTCCCATTTATTGTGTGAATGTAGCTGTGAGTACAGTGGGAAGCAACTTCAGCACTGGGGTCTGTTTTAGGTTTGTCCTGACTCATAGTACACCTATGATCAGAATTTTCCCTTGAAAAATGGTTATCCTTTAAAATAATCACTTGAAGGAAAAAAAAATCACTTGAGAGGCAGGGAGGTGACCAAACGGCAGGAGGCCTGGGTTTGACCCTCAGCACTGTGTGACACCCTGGGAGCATGCTGGGAGTAACCCATGGACACCATGGCAGTCTAAAAGAACAAGAACAAAATCAGGGTCATTTTCTTTTTAAAGTTCTACAAAGCAGTTTAATGTATTACTACATTTTTGATAAGAATTTCATAGGTGAAAAATTTTCTGTGGATGGGCCTGGAGTGCTAGCACAGTGGGTAGGGCATTTGCCTTGCACGGGGCCAATCCAGGTTCGATTCCCAACATCCTATATGGTCCCCTGAGCACTGCCAGGAGTAATTTCTGAGTGCAAAGCCAGGAGTACCCTGTGCATCACCGGGTGTGACCCAAAAGCAAAAAAAAAAAAAAAATCTGAAGATAAACCTACAATCCTGTGGTTGATTTGAGAAAATCATCCCATTCTTCCTGAATTATCTCTTAATCTGATGAAATTAATTTTGTTTAGTGATTTAATAAAGATTTGACATTATTCTAAGTGAAATAGTTCACACAGAGATAAACATGATATCTTACATGTGGAATCTAAAGGAAATAGAAAGTCAAGTTCATAGATTCAGAGAACAAGGTTGATGATTGTCTGTGTGGGCAGAATAGTTACAGAGGGTCTGGGAAGGTACAGAATTGCAGTTATAATACCAGTAATGTTAATGTACAATGTGGTGGTGATGGTTAATAAGACGGTGTTGCATATTTGAAAGTTGTAAAGAGATTGAAAAGTTCTCATGAAAGGGGACAAGGTCCATGGCTCAGTGACAAAGCACCTACCTTGCATGTGTGAGACTTGGGGTTCTGTGCCAAGCACCTACTCCCTCGCCCCCTGCAAAAAAGCTCTCAGGGGGGGAAAAATAATGCCACAGAGTGTTACTAGGCTTTATGTTGACCATTTGATATATATATATGTAATTATTATGTTGAATATCTGAAATGAGTGCAATGTTGTATGTCAATTATAACTCAGTTTTTTTAAAAAAAAAATGCAACATTGTGGACTGGAGAGCTAGTACAGCAGGTAGGTGTTTACCTTGCAAGCGGCCGACCCAGCTTCAGTCTCCAGTATCTTTATGGTCCCCTAATCACTGCCAAGAGTAATTCCTAAGCATATAGCCAAGAGTAAGCCCTGCACATCACCAGGTGTCGATACCCCAAACCCCAAAATAATATCATTGAAAGAAGTGGCCAGTAATAAAAATAACTAAAAATTATTATGGCATTATTATAACATTAGGTTGACAGAAATATATGTACATAATTGAATGAATGGAACAAGCCACAACATATATAGGGAATACAAAATATGATTTCTGTAATGTTCTGCATACAGAATTAACTGAGGAGAAATAAAAATACCTTTTAAGAAAGAAAGAAAGAAAGAAAGAAAGAAAGAAAGAAAGAAAGAAAGAAGTGGCTGGTTCTGTAGCTCAGTAGTAAAGTCCTTGTCCAATTACTATGTAGAGAAAATATAATTTATGTAAACAAAATAATTACATAGGTAATAATAGAATCATATCTAAAATGACTATAAATGTTAATTTTCTTCCCTCTCTCTCCCTTTCCCGGCCCCACCCCTTTTTCTCCCCTTTCTCCTCTATCTCCTCTCTCCTTTTTGTGGTCCAGTTGGGAACTTCTCCACTTCATCTCGCAGCACAGTACGGACATTATTCCACCACAGAAGTGCTTCTCCGAGCTGGTGTAAGTAGGGATGCCAGAACCAAGGTGGACCGAACGCCATTGCATATGGCAGCTTCTGAGGGCCATGCCAGCATAGTAGAAGTATTGCTTAAGGTATGTGTTTTCCTCTTTAAAAAGTTGACCCCTTTCAAATTATAGAGAAAGAGGAACTAGTTTTATTGAATGCCATCTTAGTAGTTTACTGATGTTTATATCATTTTTATGAGTACAAGCCATTCCGGTAAAAATTATCCTATAGTTTTCCTTTGTGAAATTAAAAAATCCAGGAATGTTCTTTGTGAAATCAAACAACTGGCTTTTAAACTTTCATCTTCCCTTTGGTGAGTGACCACAACTTTGTCTTGCTTAAACTTGTTTTGATCATGGAATGAAACATTAGGCTTTGTTGGTTGACAGACAAGCACGAATAATATGGATTTTCATTAATCATCTAAATGCTAACGAGTGATGTGAAAAAATTCTGAGACAGTTATCATTTTAGATAATCTCAGTTGGTTTTGTTCTAGACTCTCACTGCAGCCTCTCCAGAAGAAATACTATGTAAGCCACAATGGGAATCACGTAATTCTAGACTTTCTGCTAGCTATATTCAGAAAGTTAATGTTAATATTTTATTTCAACTAATATATACAAAATATGGTTAGTTCAACGTGGAGTCATTATAAATCCAAATTGACATCCTGTGTATGTGTTGTCTTTAAATCGGTGTGTTATTCATAGAGCACATTTATATTTTGGTACTTAATAGCCAACTGTATTTCTAGATAGCTTTGTTTTAATTCTTTGTACTGTGCTGGTTTTTAAAACAAAGGCTATTTTGTATAAATAAGGAGTTAGGGGAACAGATTCTGTGTAGAATTAAAGAATGTTGCAGGGATACCTATAGTTTCCTTCATCTCTAATACCATTCTAGCCCTTCTAGTCACAGTAATCTAGTGATATATCTGGAAATGTAATTTAGTTGCAAGGGCCAGGGAGGGAGATGACTCAAAGGGGGGTGTGTGTGTGTGTGTGTGTGTGTGTGTGTGTGTGTGTGTGTGTGTGTTTGTAGCAGTCTTTAGAAGGAAATTAATTAGGAATTCAGTATAATTGAAGATTGATTATGTGACAGATGGGTTGTGATTCCTGGAACAGATTTTCTAATCCCTGAAAATCGGAGTAGATCGTGCTAGTAGCAAATTCTTGCTTTAGTGCTTAGTGGCTACTATTTTCCTATCCTGTGCTCTTTAGAATTCGTTTTTTAGAAAGCTCTTATTTTGAATTATTTTCGTAGCATGGTGCTGATGTCAATGCAAAGGACATGTTAAAGATGACAGCTCTACATTGGGCCACAGAGCATAATCATCAGGAGGTGGTGGAACTTTTGATCAAATATGGCGCTGATGTACACACGCAAAGCAAATTTTGTAAAACTGCATTTGACATTTCAATAGACAATGGGAATGAAGATTTAGCAGAGATATTACAGGTACTGTTTGGCTCTTAAGACAATAAAATAGTCTGTAATACGATGGTTTGAACTAGTTTGTGGCTTTTCATTTTAGACTCGGTTAATTTGGATATGTCTTTTCTTCTCTCATTTCTTTATTGCTATTTATTTTTCCAATTATAAGATCAATCTTTGCTTATAATATTAGTAGATTAGAAAAGGAGATTATTTTGTGCTTTCAAGTTAATGAATCATTTTATTCTATTTTTATGTCACTGATGCCGTATGATTTTTGGTCTGTTGTACTCTAATTTTCTGCTGTCAAAAATCTGTGAGCATAGTTATTTATGACTTCTGGCCAAGTTTTTCTAAACATTGGTATTATTCTCTTCTTCATTTAGACATTATTGATAAAAATTAACATTTTTCCTGCTGCCTCTTGTTTATATTCTTACTCCTTTCCAGTCAACTCCTTCTCTCAGACTGTTTGACTATTGAACTTTTAGCTAGTTATTGAAAGATGTTGTATGTGCAAGAAAATGAATTTTACTATGTCTCTTCTATGTCTTTCAATCCTGGTAGTGCAGCTTGGGCCTAGGGTTGAAGATGAAGAAGAGTTAATTGGAATGGCATGTTTTTTATTTATTTGCTTTATTTTTATTTTAGTTTAGATAGCATGTTTACATAGTGTTACTTTTTATGGTTTTGATGTACAGTTTCTGTACCTTACCACCACCAAAGTGCCCTGGGTCCTCCACCACTGTCCTTATTTTAAGGACATGCTTCTTACAGGAAGTGCTACGTTACATATTAAATAATTTGACTTAAATTAATTTCTATGGTCTCTGGGTAGGAGATTATCTTCTGATTTATGCTATAAAAAGTTTATGTGCCAATTTCTCCTCTTGGGATTTTGCCGTCCTTATTTTGTTTCCCTTACAGGGAAATTTATAATATAAATTCATATGTGTGATTCACTACTTTATTTTCAGTAGCCATAAATAATGATGTCTGAATTAGATTATGCCCCTCAGTATATCTGTTTTTGACTGCTGTAAGAGGCCCTGCTGTGTGTCCTGATACAGTTCTGAAAACATGATTTGCTCCCTAGATTGCTATGCAGAACCAAATCAACACAAACCCAGAGAGTCCTGACACTGTGACGATACACGCAGCAACACCACAGTTTATCATTGGACCTGGAGGGGTGGTGAACCTAACAGGTCTGGTATCTTCAGAAAATTCATCCAAGGCCACAGGTATTGAGATGCATATAGGATAGCTATTGGGATTTTATGCTTTGGTAGTATTCATCCTTTTAAGAAAGGACTCGTGGAGAATGAGGGTAAGATTCTTTTATCAGTCACTTTGGTTTTCTTTAGTGAAATTGACAAGAAAACATGTTAATAAGACAAAATATTAAAAGGTGATATTGCAATGTTGTCTTTAAGAGATCGAGTTTTCCCCAAAAGAAATTTTACCCAAACATCATGTAAGAATTGAATAAAGCAGGGCAGGAGCACCAGTATGTGGTTCGGACACTTGCTTTGCACATGGCTGTTTCACTTAGATTTTCTGGCACCCCATGGTCCCCTGAGCCCTCCAGAAATGATCCCTGAGTTTCAGAGCCAGGCGTAAGATTTGAGTAAAGCTGGATACTTTCCCCAAAAGAAGAAAAAAACGAATAAAGCAGATAGAGTAGCAGAGCAGTGCATTAAATTAAGGTCATCAAAAATTCTAAACGTTTTCCTCTTTTCTTACAGATGAAACAGGTGTGTCTGCTGTTCAGTTTGGAAACTCTTCTACATCAGTATTAGCTACATTAGCTGCCTTAGCCGAAGCGTCTGCTCCCTTATCCAATTCTTCAGAAACCCCAGGTTAGAAAAATACGTCAGAAATATGTATTAGAAGTAAGAGATTCACGTATTGACAAAGGCCAGGAAGGTGATGTAAAAGGCGAACGTGGTGGGTGGCGTTACGGGCACCTGAGGAGAGTAGGCAGGAGCGGGGTGTCTGTGGTTCAGCTCCAGTGAGTGTTCTTACAGACTCGGTGCTGCCAGAGTCCAGTTTTCCCCTTAAGCTTGTTGAATATTTTGGTTTTGATAGAGCAGTTTTAAAAACTCAGATTTAATTTAAAGTTAAAAAGCATGTGGGATGTGGGCTATAGCTCAGTGGAAGAGCATTTGTCTTGCATGTGTGAGGCCCTGGATTCGATCCCTGGAGCTGCAGGAAGTAAAAGTAAACTTGTGTGGTTCACAGAGATGTTCTGTGCCCCCAGTTTCATATTTGTTAGTCTGGCTTTTTGTAAAAGTAAGGAAAATGATCGATTTCTGTATCTCTCCATTCATATGCATATATTTAGTGTCCTGTTCATTACTTTTGATCAGATCTATTAGAGATAGATATAGAGTTAACAGATTAGATATCAGCATAAGCATTAAAGGATCATTTAGTGATAAATGATGACAAGCTGTTCTAGGTGAGTCTTCCCTTTATATTTCTATAACTCTTGCTGTAATTATTGTATAAGTAAAATATCTTTTTAATTTGGAAATTAAAAGTAAATCCAAAAAAATATTCTTAATTAAGTGTCAGCCTTTTGGACCAGTATTTCTAGAGGAAATGTCTTTTTTGTCATTGTTAGTTATTTTTCTAATTGTGATTCCATTACAGTAACAAAAGTAATCCATTGATTACTCATATACATTACAGTAATCCCTATGTGATATGAACTGTGGTAAATGTTTTACTCGTGATCTCATTTAATCATCCCCTCAAATCTTCATGGTAGATATTAGTAGTGGTGCAGAGAAAAAGATCTCATTTGGTGGTGTGAGGTGGGGTTGGGGTGGCGGTACCCATAACTTCCCTCTTGTCTCTTCCTCAGTTCATTTTCTCTTTACTAACTAGTGATAATGAACATTTATTCATTCTCCAGCTTCTTTAGCATTGTTAGCAATGTTTGAATCCAAACCTTTATATATGTTAAAGTTTTTCTGAATAAATTTGGGCACTCATAGTTACATGTATATACTACTTACAGCTAGTACTTACATACATATTGACCTGCTGTTTTTATAACCCGTGCCTCTTTAGTTTCTTTTTTTTTTCTTTCTTTTTGGGGTCACACCCGGTGATGCTCAGGGGTTACTCCTGGCGGTGCTCAGGGAACCATATGGGATGCTGGGAATCGAACCTGTATCGGCCATGTTGGCTGCTTGCAAGGCAAACGCCCTACCCGCTCTGCTATCGCTCCAGCCCCGCCTCTTTAGTTTCTTTATAAATGCCTAAGTAAATCAAAGGTAAATAGCATCATTGGTAGATTCTATTTGATTAAACTTGTATATTTTTGTCTTCAGTAAAAGTACTTTGCCATGAAAATGAAACAACTTTTCCTGAGTGACTTCAGCTCTCAGTTTTGACATTTAGATGCTTGACTCTGTGAATTGGTTATGCCAGCTTATGTAATTTCATCTACCATTGAAAATGTTATGTATGGTCTACTCAGAATTGATAATTTCAGTTACCTTTATTGTATGTATTTCACTATCCTTTATGAGCACAAAAACTAATAGCACATTGTAATGGAATCTTTTGGAAGATATTTTAAGAACTTGAATAAATTGAAGTTCAGGTGAGTATGTTGCCACCAATCTAAACAATTCTGCCAAGGCGTGTGGCCAAATAAATGTATCTCGTCAGAACTCAGTTTGTGGGGGTGGAGCAATAGTACAGCCGGGTAGGCTGTTTGCCTTAAATGTGGCCTACCCGGGTTCAGTCCCTGGCATCCCATATGATCACCCAAGCAACGCCAGGAGTCGTTTCTGAGTATAGAGTTGGGAATATAACCCCTGAGCATCACTGGATGTCACCCAAAAAGTACCTCCCAAAAACAAAACAAAGCAAAACAAAACTCAATTTATGCATATTCAGGCAGAGATAAATATACTATAAATTATTCTGCCTTTTGAACATCCACTTTCTTTCAACATCAGTCATAAGACTTATCTTGATTTTTTAAAAAAATTATTATTTTTTTCCAAGAACATCGTAGGATCTGGGAAATAAAGTATTATAGGATGACAGGGTTGGAACTATAGTACAGTAGGTAGGGTGCTTGCCTTGCATGTGACTGACTTGGGTTTGATCCCCTGCACCCCATATAACCCCCTCTCCCACCCCCCCGCCTGGCATGACCAGAGTAATTCCTGAGTGAAGAGCCAGTAATAACCCCTGAATGTCTCTGGGTGTAGTCTCCCTCAAAAAAAAAAAAAGAAGAAGAAGAAAAGATATTTTATAGGATGAATCAGGTGTGTGCAAGTAATAATTTTGCACAAAGTAGAATGACTTTGATGCCAAATGTTTATGCCCAGAATCTAATTTCTAAGGTATGTGTTTGTGATCACTGTAATATGCTTCTTCTTCTGTATAATTTTTTTGGGGTGGTCAGGGAGCCAGTCTTTTCTAGAATGTTTATAATTTGTTTCTGATACAAATAGCTATTTCTGTAATTATATTTTTTTTCTTAAGCAGAAGCATCACTATTTCTACTTTTAATTCTATGTTGTGGCTATTGAAGTAGTTGTTGAAATAAAAACCGAATGTTTTATTCCCCTTCTGCCTATTTTTGAATGCTTGAATACCAAAATATAAGAAATTTCAGTCTACCAATTGGTACTGTTTATAGTTTTCTTCTTAAATTTTTTTTTTTCTTAAATCCATTTCACTGGTACAATAAATCTGTTTTCTGGGTACCAAGTAGCAAGTATAACAGCAGATGAAATGGAGGTTGACTGACTGGTCTTATATACAGCAGGAAGTCGCTGTTGAGAATTGAGGATGCCAGGGAACTATGGTTTATGGCTGTAAATATCATCATCATAGCTACATTAAGATCTTTGACACCCCCCCCTCCCCATTACTATTAGTTCAGTGGGAATCTCATTTAAGATATCAATCTTTTTTTTTTTTAGCAATCAATTTTTTACAGTGGTTTTTTTTTTTTTTTGGTGAAAGTAAATGATTTTCATGATCTGATCACTAGAATATATTAGGGGCTTGTTTCCTTACTAAAACTTTTCTGTGTAAATATTCTAGTTGTAGTCTTTTCCTCATAAACCTTTATTTTTCTAAATTTTAATTTGAATAAATTTTTGTCTTGTTTCGGAGATGGTCAGGGGTGTTACTCCTGGTTTTGTCCTCAGGAATTACTACTTTTGATGGTGCTGGGGATTGAACCTGGGTCAGCCGAGTGCAAGGCAAATGCCCTACCTTCTGTACTATTGCTTTGGCCCATGAGTAAATATTTTTTATATTCCTATGCTTAATTTTCATGATTCTGTGCATTTTTATCAGAAGTTTAGGGAAATAGATTGCTCTGAGTGTTTTTATACTCTGAAGACATTTTAGTTAAGTTATTGGTCTTGTTAGAAATTATTTCAGTTCCTGAGTCTGTTGGGGTATAGTAATGTACATAGTTACATTAAATAATCATTGGCGTTCTCTCTCTCTCTCTCTCTCTCTCTCTCTCCCCCCCCATACAAAATAAGAGGATGAAACAATCCTAACCATGAACATAACAGCATAATGAATATAGAAAATTAATGTTAACATTTATTGGGTTCTTGCTTTATGCTTCTTCTGTACCAAGTGCTTTATCTATATTACATTGTTTTGTTCTCACAGTATCATCTGAATTAATTTATTGTGTCAAACGTCCCCTCCTCCCCCCTTCAGTCTCTCTCTTCTTTCTCCCTTTTTCTTTTTAATTTTTTTTTATTAGTGAAACACCATGAGGTACAGTTGTAGGCTTACAAACTTTCATGCTTGGGTTTCAGTTATACAATGATCGAGTACCCATCCCTTCACCAGAGCCCATTCTCCACCACCAATGAACCCAGTAGCTCTACCACCCCCCAACCCCATTTACCCCACCCCGCCCCACCTCTGTGGCAGGGCATTCCCTTTTGATCTCTCTTTTCTTTAGGGTGTTGTGGTTTGCAATAGAGGTATTGAGTGGCCATCTTGTTCGGTCTATAGTCTACTTTCAGCACGCATCTCGCATCTCGAGTGAATCCTCCAGACACCCTTTACTTGGTGTTCCCTTCTCTATCTGAGCTGCCTTTTTCCCCAGCATCTGCTGCCAGCTTCCAAGCCGTGGAGCAGACCTCCTGGTACTTATCTCAACTATTCTTGGGTATTCCTCTCCCATTCTGTTACTTTATGTTCCCCAGATGAGTGCAGACTTTCTACATCTGTCCCTCTCTTTCTGACTCATTTCACTTAAGCGTGATGCTTTCCTTGTAGAACCACTTGTATGCAAATTTCATGACTTCATCTTTTCTAACAGCTGCATAGTATTCCATTGTGTTCTTTTTTTTTTTATAATTTATTTCTTTATTGAATCACTGTGGGAAAAGTTACAAAGCATTCGGGTTTAGGTCTCAGTCATGTAAATATCAAACACATTTCCCTTTACCAATACTTATTTTTAACCGCGAACCCCAATAGAACCCCACCTCCCACCCCTCCCAATTCCTGTGAGGCAGATGAGTTCTAGTTAATACTCTATCTACTTTGACTAGATACATTGCTTCGATAGAAGATGCACAATTATTGTTTAGAGTTTACGACCCCCCCCCCCATCAGACATGCTGAAACAGCGTTGTGAAATGATTTGCTTTCTACAACTTGGTTTAAGAATAAAATGATGTCGCGCGGCCACGGTTTTGGATTTCTGCTATTTTACTTATTAACCCTGGAAGAATTTCTATTAAAAGTTAGATAGTTAAGAGATTGGTTTCTGTGCTCTGGAGTTGTGGCCGTGCCGGAGAGCCGCTCGTGGGGGGCAGCTGGCGACCTCGGTCGGGCGTGAAGG